AGTGAAAAACAGAATGGTGTGGGTCGTATAGGTACTTGAAGTATGTTTTCTACTGAATGTGTATTGCTTTTGCACCATTGTAAATTTGAAAATTCCTAACTTGAACTATTGTCAAGGAGGGTCTACTTTATGTATCGTTAAATTCTTATAATTACTTTTTAACATAAACACTATTATCTCCAACTTATAGATTGGGAAACCAAGCTAAAATAGACTTAAGTGTCCTACATATGGTAGAGGAGGGATTTGAAAGCAGGTCTGTCCGATTATAACCTATTATTTATCCCCTTTCAAGTAAAATAACCTTTTGCCTCTAGTCTGTCTCCACTCAAATCCATACAATCGCTCACAAAAGATTAGTCTCCCTAGAATATCACTTTCCTCTTCTCTTTCGCCCTCTCCTTGCCAAATGCTCCTGGGTGTTTTCATGCTCTCCAGTAGCCTGAGTCCCCTACCCTGGGATTAAGGCCCTCCCACAGATGGGTTAAATCCTGCTTTCCCAGCTTTATCTCCTGCTGTCCAAATGAACCTTTTTTTTTTTTTTTTCCTCTAGCCTAATTGATCCCTCAGGCACACATTACCCTGTTTTTTGTTACTTTCATTCATTCATTTGTGCATTTCCTTAAAAGGTAGTCTGGTGCTCTGCCTCTGTGTGAGGCAGAGTGCTGGATGCTGTGGCACAAAGACAAATAGAATAATTCCCTGCCTTGCAAGAGTTCATTCCTAGCCTTGTGATCTAAGGGCTTGGTAGGACAGCCCACTGTAATAGTAATTATAATACATAAAATAAGGTTATGAGTGTAGGGGGAGAGTTGTGGGCACAATGTCTTGGGACTGCACAGAGCAGATACGTTGGCAAATCCAGAAGGTGGCGAAGAGGGAGTGATACATAGGCTATATCTTGAGGGATGTTAGGGACCAGCCCGGTCCACCGGTGAGTGACAGGTATACGTGGAAGAGGGATTAGCATGTGCAAAGGCCCTGAGGTGTGAGGGAACATGGTGTATTCAAACAGATGCAGAGTTTGGGATGGCTACAGTGCGGGATGCCTTGGGGGCCTGGGGAGCAGCAGAAGGTGAGCCTGGAGAGCCACGTCTGCACGCAGTTGAGCACTGCTTTCCGCCCACACTGCCTTCCTGCCCATCCTGACAGTGGCCGTTTACTTGGCTGAAAAGGGATTTCCATCTAGTCGCCTCACGCCCTTTATTCCTGCCTGCATTTGGCATTTAGCACACGATTCTCAGTAATGCCTGATATTTTGGATAGGAAGGAATTACTTGGTGGTTTAGAAAAAATCTTGGCTTTCACTTGAAGATTTTTTAGGGGGTTGTTTTATCCTCCTCTCGCCCTGTCACCTGCCTAAGGTACAAAGGGCAGGATCTTTTTTTTTTTTTTTTTTGAGACAGAGTCTCACTCTGTTGCCCAGGCTAGAGTGCCATGGCATCATCCTAGCTCACAGCAACCTCAAACTCCTGGACTCAAGCGATCCTCCTGCCTCAGCCTCCCGGGTAGCTGGGACTACAGGCATGCGCCACCATGCCCGGCTAATTTTTTCTATATATTTTTAGCTGTCCAATTAATTTCTTTCTATTTTTGGTAGGGACGGGGTCTCGCTCTTGCTCAGGCTGGTTTCGAACTCCTGAGCTCAAACAATCCGCCCGCCTCGGCCTCCCAGAGTGCTAGGATTACAGGCGTGAGCCACCACGCCCGGCCAGGGCAGGATCTTTTATAACTCAGCGTCAGCGTCTATCACAGGGCTTTGCGTGTAGTTGGTTTTGGTAAATGTTGATGGATTAATATAACTGATTACAGATGCTTTGAAACATGAAATGTTTATAATGTCTTATGCCAAATTGATATGTAGTTTTTAAGAAAAGCTTTATTTTAAAACATTTTTAGTTTTGTGAACAATCTCACTAATATCTGTTGGGTTGCAGAGGGCTCACAGCTCCTGATGCTGAGATGCTGTACATGCAGGAGATAGAGAGGATGGATGGCTACGGAGAGGAGAGCTACCCTGCGAAGGTGAGCGTGGCCGGCGGCTTACAATTTGAGAGAACAGCAGGGAAGCCCAAGGATGCCCTGACGTGCAGAAGTCTGGAAACCTAAAGGCTGAGGTCCTTATAACCAAAATTTATAGTAAAACACATTCTCATTTTTGCAATTCATTCTTTGAAATGGTCTCAAAATAGAGTTCATGAAGAGGTCTAAACTCTTTCAATTTCCATACGTATTTAGAAGATAATACATTTATACCATTCAGACTGTTTTCCCTCTGAATAGTTACTCTGTACGCCTTCTGAACATTTTATATCTGGGAAACAAGTTTAAGGAACTAGTTGTAGTTGTAGCTCTTAGGCGTTTTTTCCCTAAGTGTTTCTTTTTCTGCTTTCTCCTTTTAGGATAGCCAGGGAAGCGACATATCCATTGGAGCATGTCTCGAAGGTATCTTTGTGAAACACAAGAACGGAAGGCCGCCTGTGGTATTTAGGTATTTTTCTTACCTCTCGCTCTGTACTTTCTGTGGCTTCTGTTGGTGATATAGTTTTTAGTACTTAACAGTAGTTAAATTGCTCACAAGTCTCTCCCAAGGTTCTCAATAAAAAAAAAGGAAATATTCCCTTCCTGGAATAAAACACCACCTAAGTGCAATGGTTCTTTTTCATAAGCCACTCTCTTCAAAGCCAAATGTGTAAAAAATAGTGCTTATCATGATGGCCTACTTATAAAATGTTTCAAAATATGTGGCCATTTTCTTGCCATTAGGAGGCCATTCTTTGTTTTGATGTAAATTTTTCATTTGAGCTCTGGTTTCTAGGGCTATTTCTTATGAAAAATCGGAATCTTTCTTCTGATTCTAGTTACGTACCAAAATTCCTAAAATACTAATATCTAAGCAAATTTCAACTATTTTGTAATGTCAATTTTTTCCCCCTGATATTAAAAAGTGATACTACTCATTTGTGGAAATCTTAGAATGTATATGGTAAGAAAAACAGAAAGGTTATGTAGTGATGTGCTAATAGTGGCTGACTCTGAACAGTGAAATTACAGGTGATTTAAATTTCCTTTTTAGTATTCTGCATTCCAGTTTGTATCTTAAAGATAGTAAATTGGACCATGTCGTTCAATCTCTGCCTTTTAATTCTTTAAAAGCTATACTCTAGAAAATCCAAAGTGTCATTTTATAGAAATATTTGCAGTTTTATTTTACTCTGAGATTCTATCTACCCAATTCTGTCTTCTCTTGATGAAAGATTAAAGCTTTATATTGTTTTTTTTGTAAAGTAGTAAAACATATTCTGTCACTTCTGTTTTTTGGTTCTTTCGTATCTACCGTTTATTGAGTGCTTGCCATGAGCCAGATACTAGACTGAATGCTTTCTGTGTGTTTTTCCATGTAATCTTCAGAACAACTCTCAGCACAGGTGTTACCACCACGTTGCACATGGGATAATTGAGGATTATGAAAGTTAAATGATTTGTCCAAGGTCACCCAATTATTAACTAGCATAACCAGGACAAGAACGTAGATTCTCCACTTTAAGCCTGGGCTTTTAACCACTGTATTAAACAGCTTCTTTTATTCCTTCTACTCTCTACTTTATGTGCCATGCCCCACCTCACCCCAATTCAAGCTTTCTAAACCATCTCCACTACCACTTCTTGTTGAGAACTAGTTTTTTCCTGTTAAGAGCTTTTTCCTCTAAGTTAGTATCTCCTCCTTCACGTCCTTCGCTTTACTGCCTTTTGGGTCCTGAGTTCTCCGTGGTGATCACAACCACAGTATACGCAGTTTGGGCAGCAGAACCCCACTCCTAGACCACACTGCCCTGGGCTGAGTGGCTCCGCTTTGCCAATTGCTCTCTTATCCCCAAGCCACTCAGATCAAGTCTTCCCAACATGTCAAATTGTGGAGCAGGGAGAGGAAAATGGATCTGGGCTGCACCTGAAGGGTGGGACTACGACGTGCCCAAAGGGTCACAAGGAAAGTTGAGACATCTTCCTGGAGTCCTTCACTGGATAGGAATGTTACAAATTGCCTTATTTAGTATGAAGCAAATGATCTTACAGGTTTAACAAACATTGAATCACTACTAACTTCATTTTAATAACTTTTACATTTAATATAATAGAGAAGGATATAGAGGGGTAAAATTTTTTCTTCCATAATTTTTCTTTTTATAAAATTATAGTTATGTAATAAAATTGAATATTAATATATAAAAACTAAATATAAAATTAGTATTAATATAAGATAGGATTTTGAATTCTAGTGAACACCCCCAAAATAGTTTGCTCCTTGAGTTCCTAGCATTTGAGTGTTGTCTTCAACCTGAAGCTCTTCAGAACACTCCTCCCCACTTTTGTGCCTTACTTTTCTTAAGTAATGTAACATTACTTATTTGCTGTTCTCTCTTATACTCCCAGCCTCCAAACTGTGCCCCTTTGAGGGGAGCACTGTGCTTTACTGAGCTTACTGTCCCTAGAACCTAATGCAAGTTCTGGGATTGTTACAGTGGGTACTCCTCATTTTGTTGAATGAATAAATGAGGCCTTGGCAACCAGCTAAGATAGGGATCTTTGATCATCAAGTGAATCTAGCAATTGAGGGTAATGCATTTTACATCTTTTAAATACCCCTTTTTCCTCATTTAATATACATGCATTTACTTTTTGCAACTAGTTGGCTGTCACTTCAATTAGAAGATGCATGCTAGCTGATTAAAACCAGTTTTCTTTCAAAAATGATTAACAAATATTAACTTAGGCATCAATCTTAAGGAGAAACCATGGGTTCTGTCTCCTAGTATACATGTGAGTGCTCATGTTGCCATTCTCTGTTTGCTGTTCTTTAGGTGGCATGATATTGCTAACATGTCCCACAACAAGTCCTTTTTTGCATTAGAACTAGCAAATAAAGAGGAGACCATCCAGTTTCAAACTGTAAGTAAATATTAGCGATCTATCTGCAGGGAATGTTTTTCCTAAAAATTAACAAGTCGGCATTTCGGTGTGCATGTGTGTTTGGGAGGGGATGGCATTAAAATTATAATATTTCATGATTTTATAAAAAAGTTAACTTTTGATAGAACACTTTGTAAAATGGCACTTGGCAAAAAGGAGTTGCTCAGTGAATACTGTTGAAAGAATGAATCTTTGGGTAAATGCTATCTGATCATGATGACCTTTAAATTAAACTTAAGAGATTAACTGGTATTGAAAGTAAACGCTAATATCTTAATTTTATTGATAAATGAATTGCTCTGCAGAAATATTGTTTAACAGTTATCAGCTTTTCTCTTACCAAAGGCAATATTGAGTTGCTGAGTTGAATGTTTTTTTAGAAATGTTTTTGAGTATATTATTAAGAATAAAAGTTGGTGGCCGGGTGTGGTGGCTCACACCTGTAATCCTAGCACTCTGGGAGGCCGAGGTGGGTGGATCGCTCAAGGTCAGGATCGCTCAAGACCAGCCTGAGCAAGAGCGAGACCCTGTCTCTACTAAAAATAGAAAGAAATTATCTGGACAGCTAAAAATATATATATAGAAAAAATTAGCCGGGCATGGTGGCGCATGCCTGTAGTCCCAGCTACTCGGGAGGCTGAGGCAGGAGGATCACTTGAGCCCAGGAGTTTGAGGTTGCTGTGAGCTAGGCTGGTGCCACGGCACTCACTCTAGCCGGGGCAACAGAGTGAGACTCTGTCTCAAAAAAAAGAATAAAAGTTGGTATTTTTATAATTTTGAAATTTCTAAGTCATTTGAAACTGTTTAATATCAGAATCACACTGTTAGAACAGATTGTCTTTAATTTTAACCCTACTTGTGGCATTCATATGATAGGCACAGTGTTAGAAGATGAAAGAATTGCTGCATGCTGAAAGTGGCCTTGTCATAATGTGTCCTCAGACAAACTCTGAGTTAAAAGTCCCAAGTTGTAAGTGTGCTTTCATATTACTTTATGCCTATTTGTTTGCTAGGAAGATATGGAAACAGCAAAATATGTGTGGAGACTCTGCGTTGCACGACACAAATTTTACAGACTAAACCAGTGTAACCTGTAAGTATATCCTGCTCACGGAAATTGTAGAAATAGAAAGTAACGAATTTAGACATTTTAATCTTGAGTTTTACTGTATCTAGAAAGGCAAATTTTATCAAGTGATCTTTTTTGAACACTTTCATAATAATCTTTTCACTTTTGTTGCATGTTAAAGTAACATTTCTTATTTTTCTTAATTTAGCTTTGAACCAACTTCTAATAGCTACGAATATGCCTCTAAGATTTCTTCCCACTAGTTACTGGAACCATTCTAATTCTGGAAAGTTGAAAAGGAAATGATATCTTTTATTTTTTAAATCAATGCCCTGGTCAGCATTTTAAGTAATTAAAGATTATTCAACTTTTCAAGCCATTAGAAGAATTTATGCCCTTCTTTCCTAGTGTACGTTTTTATTAGCCCACACTGCGTCCCCACTGCCTGCTAGATCATTCCCATCAGCGTTCAAGCCCGCTGTGATCTTTCACGTGTGAAATACTGTGTTATTCCACATCCCTGTCTAGCCTCAGCACGGTATCTCTGCTTTCCTTTATTGCAGAAGTTGTCAAAAAAGTTGTATGTACTTGTTTCTTTCCTTCCTTCCACCCTGTTTCCCCTGAGCCACCACACCACCGCACCGCTTGCTGCCGTCACGCGTGCTTCATCCCGTGGTCGTGTCGGGAGCTCCTTCACTCGGCCTCTCCACAGCACTGAATCTGTGATCGCGCCTTCCTTCCTAACCCCCTCCTGGGTTCCTCCTTCTCGGCTGTTTCTTCTCAGTCACCTTTCCTGCTTTAGTCCCGAGACCTCTTCACCAGCTGCACTCCTCGGGGATTTCACCCTGCCTCAGGCTTATGTGCTAGAAGTACATCAAATTTTCTTTCAAGCTCTTTCTCCCTGAGCTCTCGACTCCCGCATGCTGCTGCCTACTTGACATCTCCGTTTGGATACCTAAGAGGCCTCTCAAGTTTGGCATGTCTAAAATAGACCTCCTGATCTCCTCCTCCTCTTCCTGCCCCCAAATCTGCTGCTTCCCTACTCTTTCCCATGTCGACACGTGGTAGCACCCCCACGTTTACCCAGTTGCTCAGGCTCCAAACTCCGAAGTCATACTTAATTCCTGTTTCTCTTTCATACCACATCTATTCATCAGCAAGCACTTCTAGCTCTGTCTTCAAAATATATCTGAAGTCTTACCATTTCTACCACCTTTTCTGCTGACAACTTGGTGCCAACCGCCATCACTCCTCATCTGGAACATTGCAGTAGCCTTCTGACTCTCTCCCTGTTTCTGTGCCTCCCCTGCCTGTAGCTTATTTTCCATATGTCAGCCAGAATGATGTTGGTTTAACACGAATCAGATCCTATCACTCTTCTTAAAACCCTCCACTGGCATTCCATCTTACTTATAAGAAAAGTATGAGGCCACACGTGATGTGGTCCTTGCCTGGTTCCAAACTTGTTTTCTTTTTTTTTTTTTTGAGACAGAATCTCACTGTGTTGCCCGGACTAGAGTGCCGTGGCGTCATCCTAGCTCACAGAAACCTCAAACTCCTGGGCTCAAGTGATCCTCCTGCCTCCCGAGTAGCTGGGACTACAGGCATGTGCCACCATGCCCAGCTAATTTTTTCTATGTATTTTTAGTTGTCCGATTAATTTATTTTTATTTTTAATAGAGACGGGGTCTTGCTCTTGCTCAGGCTGGTTTCAAACTCCTGAGCTCAAATAATCCGCCCACCTCGGCCTCCCAGAGAGTTAGGATTACAGGCGTGAGCCACCGTGCCTGGCCCTCAAACTTGTTTTCTTTACCCTCTTTGTTCATTCTGTTCCAGCCACACTAGAATCCTCGCTGATGTGTGAACGTGTTGTACCCTCAGGGATGCTCTCCAGTTAGTCTTTTGGAGGGATAAGCAAAAGATGGAGCACTGTTCTTAAAGTTATAGGTCAGGACCAAATCAGAGCATGCTCCTCTCCCCCAGCCCTTCCTGGCTACAGGATTAAGTGCAGACTCCTGAGGTCTCCTGCTCTGGGCTTATCTACTCCAGCCCTGTGACTCTTGATTCTGGCTCCCAGAACCCCTCATTCCTAATGCGTCTCCGGCCAGGCCTTTGCTAGAATGCCCTTCCTTCCCTCCTTTGGCAGACTCTTAGTCATTCCTCGAGATCTAGTTTGAAATGCAGCCACCCTGGACACCAGCAAGCATTTTGTTTGCTAAGTCCTTAATACCCCCCTGAAAGATCTGGTTTATTCCTACTTTTACAATAATGATTCTAATAATTCATGACAATAATTCAGTAAATGCTTGCTCTGTGTCAAGCATTATACTGAGAGCTTTTGTCTTCTTTAGTCGTAACAGTAACCCTGTGTGGCACAATTATTACTGCCCCGTTATTGGTGGAGGTGTGAGGGTGTCGAGAAGTGGAATGTCTTGCCCCTTCCACGCCACTAGTGAGAGGGAGCCGCACGATGAGAACCTGTGCTCTCAGCGGCTGCGCTAGACTGTTGCAGTGTTTGTGTCTGCTGTGTAAATGTGGGTTTCATCTGTCTCTTTTGTCCGATGGAGTCCCATGAGGGCAGGGCCTCCACTCACTCATCTCCACGGCCTGCGTGTGGCCAGGGCTTAGTGAACTGAAGCCGGAGGGAGACAGTAGCGGGAGTCACAGGAGAAAAGGCCTTTTGATGCTTGCCTGATTTCCTTTTATTACGGATCGTAAATTGGGGCCAGGGGGCATTGTGTCCTTTAGCACCAGGAAAGAGAAAGGCTGTGGAAGTGCCCTCTGTTGCACGGGCTGTGCAGGATTAACAGTGCAAAGAGAACAGGCATTGTCCATGTGGACGGAGAACCATCCACTGATTAGCACCTAGGCCCCATCCCATCTCCTCTGTGTGTCCCCCCACCCCCAGTGTTTTTATCTGATTCCCCACTAGTGGTCTGGTGTTGGGGCTTTGGTAAGCACTGACTGACGGGAAGGAGAAACCCTGCTTTCTCTGTGGCGTTAGGAAGCCCTTTCTGCTCGTTGCCCACGTGGGTGTGAATATGAACGTGTTCCCCCTGGTGGTTAGGCTCAGTATTGCTACTAGCCCAGAGTAGTTGCATTTGGGGCTCCCATAGCCTGGCCTGGTTACCCAACCACGTGTGACATTATTTCTATGCAGAAGTGAGTTCTAAGATTCAGGCAATAGATGTGTACGTATCTATTGTACATCTATTGTACATTTCATATACAAATGAAAACACAGTGTTTTCGTTTGAAAGCCTTACATAAGTTTAAGAGAATTAATAATATCGAGCTATCATTATGTCAGTTCATTCCTTTTCTGGAAAATAGTTAAGAATCAGTCATTTTGAATAAATCATAAAATGTAATCCCTTTCCAAATGGCATCCATATCGGTTGGTCTTAGTGCCTTTTTTAAAAAGCATTTTTTTGGCAAATTGCCACCTAGTAATAATTTTAAAACGTAGAGTGAAAAGCAATAAATGATTGCGGTAAATGATTTAGTCTTAGAAATCTAATTTTTGGGATATTGCTGTTTATTGGCAAGTGTGAATAAAACCACATTAATGTCATCAGTTGCATATATTACATCTGTATAAGGAATATTTGCTTCTTTTAAAAATGGAATAATTATGTTTAAAGGACTATTTTCCAGAATTTGTTTTTAATCTCTGTATATCCAGTAGATTATGGCAACTGATGATTTCTATGAGTTACTCCTATGTAATTATTTATGATTCATTCTGTGGGAAACCAATCTATTTCATGATGAGCATTTGTTTCCCATGTAAGGTAAATGAAGCTTTTAATATTAGCTTTTAAAATTTTGATGGGTAATAAAACTGAAAATAACTATAACTTTTATGGCCTTCTCTTTTAAGGCTCTCAGTATAGACTATTTAGTCACATTCAGTATTATGATTCTGAGGTACTGGTAGACTTGTTCTCGTGGTCCAGATGGATGAACTCAAGTGTGTTGGGCATTTAACAAAACTGTAGCTGTCCTGGCACTGGACAGTGGGTTCTGGATGTCTAGTTCAGGCTGGGGTGACTCGTGGCCCAGGAGGTGGATTCTACTTGCACAGAAAGGAGGACTTTACTCCCAGAGTGTCCCCTTTACCCCCAGTCCTGATCTATAATCTAATAGCATTTGGGATGGCTTTATGTGATTCATCTAACCTTGACCCAGATAACCGTATTTTAGTATTTGTACAATGGCATGATCCAACAGTCTCGCCCCCACCCACCCAACAAGGCAGTTTAGGTAACAGAATATCTTTTTATGTCACCCAAGCCTTAAAAAAGATAACAATCTCTTTGGTTTAATTTGTAAAATGGGGATAATGGGACCTTTACTGAACATTCCTTTAGGGTTGGATTAGGAATTATAAATGAGATAATGATGTCAGTGTCAAAAAGCTGCTTCTAACCTCCTCTCTCCCACCCCAGGCCTCAGAACTGATCATGCCGTAATCAACCTCCCTAATTTGCCTGAGAAAAAGACTGGGAGAGAGGGTCCTTGGTTCAAGGGGCCTTTCCTCTCCTCTCTCTGTAGGGGACAGCAGGATGGTGTCCTCCAACCTGCAAAGCCCCGTGATAGAGGGCTTAGGAGACTTTCTCCGGAGGGTAAACTTGGATTTCAGCCAGCGGCAGGCTGCTCTCTGAGCGCAGTAAGAGGGTTGGTGAGTGTTCCTGCGGATTCGAGCTCTCAGCGAACGTTGCAGCCAGTGTCCACCTCGCTTCTGGAGACTTTTATGATCCAGGAGACGGACCGGAGTAGACCCTGCCTGGCAAGGGAGAGGGGCTGCCCCATCTTCTTCTAAGCCTACGGCAGGGCTCGAAGACACTGTGGGAATCCTGGAAGAAGGTGGAGCAGCCCCTGTCCCATCCAGTCCTCTGGGCCCCCAGAGGTGTGGCGAGGAGCCAGTGGTTCCTACAGACCTGTGTGGCGCAGCAGGGCAGTAGTGGGGTTGAACTGAGGCGCAGCTGCAGGGCCAAAACAGTGGGATCTCTGGGCATGGGGACGCGGACCTCGGGTAGGGCTAAAGAGAGGCAGCTTCCTTTCCTGAGTGGGTTCTCATGTGGATGAAGGTCAGCATTACCCTAGAAAACCGCACGTCATGGAGCTAGAGTGAAGCCCGGCACCAGTACCCCAGTTACCCGAGATGATCTCTGCCAGCTCTGTTCCTCTCCCTGCCTGCAGTGCCAGGGAGCCACAGGCATCTCAGAGCCAGAGCAGCGACCCTCAGCCTGAATATGCAGCTCTGGCCTACCCTGGTGCAGGGAGGGAGAAGAGCTTTTTTCCTTTCTTACCCTTATTAAGCTCAAGAAGCAAGTCATTGAGACAAACACTCGCTGGGTATTTCTACCATCCAATGCGTTTTTGATCATTAAAATCTCACTGTGCTTCACCAGCTATAAATATACATATATAAGAAATGAGCTTGACCCTAAATGCTTAGAAAAGAACATCAACTTCAGTCCTCACTCACCATGTCATTCATTTGCTCAGTAAACATTTGAGGGCTTCCTCGTGTGCCATGGCATGTCCTCTTGCCTCGAAATTAGCTTACAGATTAGTTGGGACTGGGGAAGGGGTCAGATAAATCACTGTTAGAGGCCTGTGCTCAGGAATCTGACAGACCTGCCTGGTTCAAATGCCGGTTCTGCTACTTGTTTACCACATGACCAGGAGTGATTTACTTAATCTAAGTTTCAGTTTCCTTATCTGTGAAATCAGGATAATAACTGGACCTCCCTTATAGGGTTGGTGTTCAGATTCCATGAGATAATCATGTACAGTTTCAGTAAGTAATATAATTGATTGCACTTGGGCTGGCACATATTATTTTTTTTTTAAGAGATGGGAGTCTGGCTGTGTTGCCCAGGCTAGAGTGCAATGGCTATTCACAGGCCCCTTCATGGTGCACTACAGCCTTAAACTCCTGGGCTCAAGCGATCCTCCTGCTTCAGCCTCCCAAGTAGCTGAACCACAAACATGGGCCACTGTGCCTGGCTCAGCCTTTTTTCTTGTCTTCTTCAGTGCACACATTCCAGTGATTTCTTCTCAGAGTTCTTTAGCTGTCTCATTTTTAGTAGCACCCATCAACATAGTAAGTGCCCCACAGGTTTGGAAACCACAGCCAACAGATAAGTCATTTTCTCTTATAAGCCAAATTGAGAATAGCTGATCTCAGAGTAAACTGCATTTATAACAACAATGCTGAGAAGAAAGAGGAGGTTAGACTATTAGAACTGATGGCAAGTCAGCCTAGGTTAAAACTGGTAGCAGCTGGATGACTCACTACTGTAGTTTGTTTTGTGTTTAGCAGAACTGGCTGCAGCAGTGGGCAGTGTTCGCCTCCACGCTGGGTGCTGCCGGCAAGGGTGCCAAGATAGCTGTTGCGTGTGGGAGTTGCCGCCTGTGCTCCGGAGCTCTGCATCCTTGGATCTTGTGTTTAACACACTTCAGTTTTATTTTTGCCTCAGACTAGGAAACTATGGATGTTTTTGGAATTTGTTGATAGAGGATTCTATAAGCAACCCTTTCTTCCCAGTTCGGAATTTATGGTACTTTAAAAGTTCAGTCTGTCTAGACAGTGAGTCTCTGATAGACTGAACATAAAGGCCAGGGCCCCGTTTGTCCACACCCAGCCCTGGCAATGGAGAATAACCAGGGGCAGTGAATTACAAGGCTACAAACATAGTGTCCTCAAATTCCGGAAACCAGTTTTAAGAAATACATGAATGTGTTGTTAAGGAGTATTTAAAAAACAAACAAACAAACAAAAAAAAACCACAACAAAACAAAAAGCCCAGACCCACCATGCAGACTTATTTCTCCAAAATAAATACTAGAAGAATGGAACATCCTTTGGAAAAGAGACATTTATTTTTCAACAACCTGATGATAATGAAAGGCAATTATTTTAAAAAGTGAACTAGTAAAAGCAGTTGTAGTCATCTGATGTTAAGTTCCTAATACGTACTAGTTTTTTTAATCTCAAAAGTCTTTTAACAATAGGCTAATATCCAGGGTTTGAATATAAGATACGACTTATGAGAGTGCTAAGAAAATGTTAATTTAGGAGACATGAGGCTTGATATTATTATGGTAAATTCGCTGATTAAATTGATTGAATGTTGACTTTGTGATGATGGATTTTTCTGGTAATTAGTCCTTAGAACACTATAACCAAAGATCACAAAATATTTTTGTATCAGTTATTAACTGCATCATATAAGCTCATGAGCCAGGGACAGATGACAAAAGGTTTAAGAAAAAGTGCTTTGACAACATTATATGTCATCAATGAAGCCAAGGATCCAACGTGTTTAGGTTCTGAGATCTTATTTGCAATTGAAAGTGACCACACAGAAGAACAACAACAACAACAAAAAAATCCTGCCTCTATTTAAAACAATAGTTACATGTGGGCTCTTCTGTTTCTTGTTCCTTTCTTACCTAATTGCTTCTTCAAAGATGGAACTTGCTGCATGAATAGTTTAAAATCTCAAATTATCAGATAAATGTCAGTTAGCCCTCCTTAATACTCTTTGCCTTTTAAAAAATATATTTAAAACCCATCAGACAGGAATTTCTTGCAAAGAAAAGTAATGGGTTTGCCACAGGCCCATTGAACCACAGTTTCTATTTTGCTTTCCGTAACTCAGTTCCTTAGAGGAAATGTAGATTCTTCAGTCACCGAAATTATAAATTTATCTCTTCATTATGTTTGCAGTCTTGGTTAACAGACTCTTAATTAATGGCAGTTCATACTGCTTCCGGCTCCCGGGCTGACAGTTGATGGCCCTCCAGGACCATTAGCGGAGAGGCTCAGGGCTCACCCAGCGCACAGGAGAGATGCATCTGCACCGGATCCTGCTCCCGCTGGAGTGAGAGTGCGGGTTGTAGCCTTGTCTCCTTCCCCTCTGCCTGTGGCCACCCCAGAGCTTTATCTGGATGGCAGCAAAGATGCTCCCACAGTCCCTCTAGGCGGTGATGCTCCACAGGGAGCCTGAAACCACAGCACGGGTTGAGGGGTTGGGGAAGCAGGAAAGGGCTGAGACCCCATGGCTGACAGAGAATCTCCTTTTTCTCTAATTTATGACTGGTTAGCTTATCTTTTTCGTCTCAGAAGATTTATCATTTTACCTTCCTGTATCTTCTTTTGGTAGAAGTAGGAAGTGTGCATGTATGTGCATGCGTGCTTGCTCTTCTCAAAGACTTACTCTTTCGTAGGCAAACTCAGACTGTCCCTGTGAACCCCATCAGAAGGAGGTCTTCTTCAAGGATGTCTCTGGTAAGAAAAAAGGAAGATTTTTTTTTTTTAACTGATGTCATTCTCCTTAATAAGATACGCTTTTAGTAGTGTTAATTTTGAGTTTGAACCATAAACGTGTGCTACGTGATCATTTGTAACCAAAGAAATGGTTTTTCCATAGGTCCAACCTAGCATTTATATTATTGTATGTAATTTTAGGTCCAACCTAATATTAAAAACTTTGTTAGCCAAGAGTATTTGTGAGTTGGTATATATTTAAAATACTAGACAACTGTCTAATAAGATTGTACTACATATAAGCTACTTATAATCACATGTTTATACATGGAAATTTGTGTCTGGGCCTGCTTGCTCTTTTTGGGTGCAGATTTTCTTGTGCTGTCTAATGTCCTTGGTATCTGTATGGGGGTTGGCATTGCCATTGGGGAAACATTGAAAATGATAGATATGGTAAGAGCTGCTATATCTTCATATTTATCTTCCATATGTAATATATTTAACTCCTTTAGAAGTTTTTTAATGGAGGGAAAGAATCCAGCGGAGAATGACTTTATCTGTTACGTAGGTAACACGTTTTAACCCTGTGTCCAACTCTCCATTTCTTAGCCTAAACCTCAGCCCTACGTGATGCCTCCCCCTCCCCCGCTGCACTATAATGGACATTATACGGAACCATATGCTTCCTCCCAAGGTACAGTATAGTTGTTACTATGAACAAATCTATGAAGGCAGATCTTGAAGCCTGGATAGTTTTTGATTCAGCCAAAAACCCCAAATTGTAAACCCCCAATTGTTGTCATGATTACAGCCATCCTGGACTCATAGAAGCAGCCATTATATTCAAGTTCTCGGATATTTGTAAAAAAAAAAAAAATGCAAGTATCAAATTTTGATGCTCAGATGATCCCAAATTTGGCCAGTGGAAACTCAGTCAAGCTGGTTCCTGTGTCCTTTTCACATTCCCCCATTAGCCATCAAGTGCTTCCTTACTTTCTGGCAAAAAACGTCAGTCTTGCTTTGGTTTTTTCCCTGAGAGACTTTTTTCCCCAGAGACTTTCCTATTGTAACAGTTTAAACCGTTGATTACTGCAGTTTTCACATGAGAAGTATAGAGAACTGTATTTATAACAGTGCCCCCAAAGCCGAAGCTTAGGCAGTCATCTAACATTTACTCTGTATTCTTTGTATAAGGCTATACCAAAAGCCAAGGCGGTTTATGCAGATGAATAATTCTACATCTCTTCTTCTTTTTTTTTTTTTAGAGACAGGGTCTCACTCTGTTATTCAGGCTGGAGTGTAGTGGCATGATCATAGCTCCCTCCCTACAACCTCGAACTCCCGGGCTCAACTCCCCCGTCTCGGCCTCCAAACTAGCTAGGACTACATGTATGCACCACCACACCTGGCTAATTTTTAAAAAATTTTTGGAAAGACAAGGTCTTTCTATGTTGCCCAGGCTGGTCTTGAACTCCTGGCCTCAACTGATCCTCCTGTCTTGGCTTCCCATCGTGCTGGTATTACAGGCGTGAGCCACTGCACTGGCCTCACATCTTAAGAAGCTTAGAAGCTAATAGTAGGGGATGAGACAAGTGCACAACTTGAATGCAAAAAGAACATTGTTTTGCTGAGAGTGAGCATGCAATTACTGTGCTCTTTGATAGAAGAAAGACTCATAATGTTGGGGAGAGTGAGAAGAACTTTCTGGACCTCAAAAGATGAGTGGATTTCAGCAGGTAGAGAGGTAGACACTTGACTGGGATTGCTGCTCCTGGGTTTGGGGGATAGTGAATGCCGAGGCACAGAATGAAGAAGGGGGTGTTTGGAGAGGAGAGTGGTCCAGTTGCCCTCTCATGTAGGGAATAATGCACGAAGGACCCAGAAGGTGGGTTGTGATTGTATTGTTTGTGCCGGGCCTTATATGTAAAGAAGAGAATTTTCATGCAGTGAGGTAGGCAGTAAGGAGCAGTGCTTTGGGGTGTGGATTCTGAGAGTGTCCATCTCGGATGTTTTTGTATTTCTTCATCGTCCTCTCCTCCTTGCGCCTGCCCCTTTCTGGTACTTGGAACTCCAGCCCTTCCCGCTTCTGGGACGAGGCACTTCTCTGCATTGTTAGTCTCTGCTGCTCATTCTCCTACCTCACTCTGTAAACATCCTAACATTTTTTGCTCTCCTCTCTTTAAACTATGGTTTGAATTATTTTTTTCTTTTCTTTCTTTTCTTTTTTTTCTTTTTCTTTCCTTTCTTTCGACAGGGTCTTGCTCTATCGCCTGTGCATGAGTGCAGTGGCATCATCCTAGCTCACTGCAACTTCAAACTCCTGGGCTCAAGCGATCCTCCTGCCTCAGCCTCCCAAGTAGCTGGGACTACAGGCATGTGCCACCACACCTGGCTAATTTTTATTTTTTTGTAGAGATGGAGTCTTGGTATGTTGCTCAGGCTGGTCTCGAACTCCTGACCTTAAGCAATCCTCCCACCTCAGCCTCCCAAAGTGCTAGGATTACAGGTTCAAACTGCCGCGCCTGGCTTCTTTTCTTTTTCACCCACTTCTTTTGAGAGGACCCTCTGTGTGCTGCTGCTTCTGGTTGGTCTCCCACTTGCCTTTGCTGTTCTGTTAACGCTGCCCTCTCTGAGGTCCCCAGGACCCCTAGATTCTCCTCTCTGTCCAGTTCAAGGATTTGCTCCTTCTTGAAAATTTCTTTCCAAGATGCTGGGTTTTCCCTCCTCCCCGTCAGTGTTGTTTGCTGTGCCCTGAAGGTCTGTGCTGTGCCCTCCCCCTCCCTCTGTGAGCTTGCACAGCAGTCTCGTCCACATTTAAAATGTCACCAAGGACGACTATCACATCTGTATTTCCCACCCCATCCTCACTCCTGGGCTCCAGCCCCACGTTTCCAACTGTCTGATAGGTTGTGGGGACAGTTCCAGGAGTGTCTGCACGTGACGCCCTCAGTGGAGCACCTGGTTTATGGTAGCACTCCGTAAACAGTACTGGAAATTAAAATATTAGATTTGAACTCCGCGCTCCACTTGACAAGCCTGTCCCTTTTCCTATGTTCCTTACTTCATTTTTATGATGGCATCACTCTCCTGGTTACTTAGATTCCATGCTGCATGTAATTTTCCTTTTGTTTTTTTGCCCTTGACATCTAGTCAATTACAAATCGTATTACCTCTAAGTGTATATGCTGTCTCTTCCCTATCCCCTTCTCCCCATATTCCTGCTCCCGATCCAGTCCTCCAAATCTAGTCTCTTTCTCTTTCTTCCTTGCTTCCTTCCTTCCCCTTCCTTTCTTTTCCTTTTCCTTTGATTTTCTTTCTTTTTTGCCTCTCACCAGCAGTTGCTTGTCATGAGCCAGTGTCTTCAGTCTCCGCTCTCCCTGGTTCATCTAGACACGGCTGCCCGGCCAGTCTCCCTGGTGTGTACAGGATCGTTGCTTTGCCTAGTGTTCAAGACTCTGCACAGTATTCCCTAAGCCTGCTGTCCAGTCTTACTTCCCACTGCTATTTTGCTCCTCGCTAGCTACCCAACACTCTAGCCAGGCTGAGCTTGCCCTCTAGGCATGGTCCCGGCTTTGCCCTTGCTGCCCTGTTAGCCAGACGCCCTTATCCCTCGCACCCTCCTGTCCACGTGCTGCCATCCAGACAGGATAGGCCAGGTTATGTTGTGCTGAGAAACCATTCCAAACTCTCGGTGGCTTTAAACAGTAAAGGTTACTCCCAGCCCAGGTCACCTGTCCGTTGTGCACCAGCAGGGAGGGCTCTGCTGCACGTCGGCCTGCCTCGGGGACTTGGGCTGGGGGAGCCTCTTCTGTCTGGAATGTTGCAGGGTGAAGAGAGCATAGAAACTGGCTCTTAACCCTCTGCTGACTTCCCCTTTACTGATACTAGTTGCTTTGCTGTGCCTGATATCAGGGGTGAGGAGGCGTAAAAACCTGCGTGCTCTCAGAGGGGTGGAGACATCTACTGTGGAAGCTGGACGTGCCTACCCCGCAAGGCCCCTTAAATGCCGTAACTTCTCTGGGGTGGTTCTTGATCCTCTCCTCCCTGTCCCCATCAATGCAGCCTAAGCTGGAAGTGATCCTTCCCTCCTCTGGGCTCCTTACAACCCTTATCTCTTCTTCTCTTTGCTTTAAAGTATGGTGATTTTGTGCACATCTTTCCCCTTTACTTGCCTATATTTCAGTTATCTTTCCCCCTCTTTTGTTCTTAGTCTTTTCCAAGTATGGCTTATAAATGACCGGGTGGTTTGTGGTGAGCAGAGAGGGGCCTCGAGGCAGGGAGACCAGCTAGGCGAGTGTCACGCTAGTCCAGACCAGCTGGAGTAGAGGCCTGAGTGAGGGCAGTGAGACAAGGGAGATTCCAGAGACTGAGAGATAGCGGAGTCTTCCATAGATGGGGAACGTACAGTGACAAGGAAGCATTACGTGTCAGCAGGGAGAACACAATGGACATGAGAGCACAGTTTCTTCGCAGCTGTGTGTGCCACCCGAGTGAAGTGCCCCCACTAGACTGTGGGATAGTACTATGGTAATCAATTGTCACTTAAACAGTCTTGGAGCTTTTGAAGCAAAAAAGAATGCTTTTCACAAGAAACTGTTCTCTGAAGGACTTGACTGCTGAGTTTCTTTAATGTGTTAGAAATCACCCTTACTAATAAGAGCATGAGCTACAGATTGGCTGGAAGAAACATGGGCCCCTTCCAACCCCGGTCAGGTACACGCATGCAGCCATTGTAGGATTAGATTGAACTCCTGATTCTGTTAGCCATGGCCCCAAAGCATGGGGGCCAGGCAGGGGGAAGCCGCAGCTGTGGTTCCTCTTGGCTTCCAGACCCCTATTGGGGTGTGCAGCTACTGGGGACACTGTTGGACCAGAGAAGCTTAGATCCTGCTGAACCATTACCCTTTTATAGCCAAAGTTCCTATGTTCACTCTGGAAGAACCTGTATCAACAATCTAGAATTCCAGTTACGAAACTGTTTACAGATGGTTGGTGCTTGAACTAGCTCAGCGTCAGCAAGGCCACGTCCCTACCCAGGGAGAGAAAACAGTCAGCAGCTCAGTGCCTTGAATAGTGTAATATCTCTGCCTAAAGTCCCCAGAAGTCTGTTTTGTGTCTCTCGCAAAACAGTTTTTTAACTTCTAGAAGAAGATAACGTTTTGTGACACAATTATACGTTTGACATTGGACTTAGATTTGGCTAATCTTCGTGGGATGTCGGATCCTGAATGGCGCCCTTTCAGTAGGCAGAGCCATCCCTGTCCTATAGAGGAGGAAGCTGAGGCTCCCAGGGTCACTCAGACAGTGTGGCTAAAGCCAGGACATTTTAGCATGGATTTTTACAAGCTATGTTAAAAACGTCATCAAAATTCAGGGGCCCTATCTCAATATTTGGGTGGAGTAATTAATTAAAAGAATGTCATTTTAAACTTATTTTTTCAGATAACCTCTTTGTGCCCAACCAGAATGGATACTATTGTCACTCTCAGACAAGTCTGGATAGAGCCCAGATTGACCTCAACGGTCGGATCCGTAACGGCAGCGTCTACAGTGCGCACAGCACTAACTCCTTAAATAACCCACAGTCCTACCTGCAGCCCTCGCCCATGTCCTCCAACCCCAGCATCACCGGAAGCGACGTCCTGAGACCCGACTACGTCCCGTCCCATCGGCACAGTGCCCTGATACCCCCGTCGTACCGCCCGACCCCAGATTATGAGACTGTGATGAAGCAGCTCAACCGGGGCCTGGTGCACGCGGACCGGCAGAGCCACTCGCTGCGCAACCTCAGCATCGGCAGCTCCTACGCCTACAGCCGGCCGGACGCCCTGGTCTACAGCCAGCCCGAGATCCGCGAGCACGCGCACTTCGCGTCGCCGCCGTCGGCGCACTACCCGTTCGCCCTCAATTACAGCTTCCACAGCCAGTCCCCGTACCCCTACCCCGCCGAGAGGCGGCCCGTGGTGGGCGCGGTCAGCGTGCCCGAGCTGACCAACGTGCAGCTGCAGGCCCAGGACTACCCGGCTGCCAACATCATGAAGACCCAGGTGTACCGGCCGCCGCCGCCCTACCCGTACCCCAGGCCCGCCAACAGCACGCCGGACCTGTCGCGCCACCTGTACATCAGCAGCAGCAACCCCGACCTCATCACCAGGCGCGTGCACCACTCGGTGCAGACGTTCCAGGAGGACAGCCTGCCGGTGGCGCACTCCCTGCAGGAGGTCAGCGAGCCCCTGACGGCCGCGCGGCGCGCGCAGCTGCACAAGAGGAACAGCATCGAGGTGGCGGGGCTGGCGCACGGGCTCGAGGGCCTGCGGCTCAAGGAGCGGACCCTGTCGGCGTCGGCGGCCGAGGTGGCTCCGCGCGCGGTCTCGGCCGGCTCGCAGCCGAGCGTGTTCACGGAGAGAATAAAGCAAGAAGAGCCCGAGGAGCAGGAAGGCTTGAGGTATGGCCACAAGAAGTCCCTCTCCGACGCCACCATGCTGATACACAGCAGCGAGGAGGAGGAGGAGGATTTCGAGGAGGAGAGCAAAGCGTGCTCCGCGGTCCGGCGGCCCGGAGGCTGCCCCCGGGACCCCGCACCCCCAGCCGGGCCGCTGCACATCCTGGAGCCGCAGCCGCACGGCCCCGGGCCCGGGGTGCTGGAAGCCCAGCGGCCCAGGAGGGACGGGCTGCTGACGCCCTCCATGTCGGAGTCGGACCTCACCACGTCGGGGCGGTACCGCGCCAGGAGGGACTCTCCGAAGAAGAGGCCGGTGTCAGACCTCCTCTCGGGCAAGAAGAACGTCGTGGAAGGCCTCCCGCCGCTGGGGGTAAGCGTGGGCGCGTGTGCCTAGGCCCCCGAGTAACCTGCCTTCTCGACGTCCGCTTGTCTTTGAGCGTCACTTCTGACGCTTTCCAGCTTTTTAATTTGTTCGTCTAACGTTTTTCTCCCCCCGCCCCCATGTTACTCTGTTTTTGACTGTCTTTGAACACACTCGAGTTTATCTATGGAAATAATGGAGGTCAGTTGAATTTTAGTGGTTTTGCTGGATGAAGTGAAAAGGTAAATGTAGGAGGCTTTGCGGAATGGAATGGAAAGAGTGAATGAAATGTTTTAGTAATGCGCTGTTCAGAAAAAGGAAGTTAAGACTTCATGACGTCAGCCAGGATTGCTTTGTTAGCCGCCCATTAAAAATACCAGGTGGTGATGTGGCACCCCGGGCAGCATTTGTTCAGTTTGCCCGAGAGAGGTCTGTGAGAAGCATGGGGATGTGTTCTTAATTCTTTGTGTGATTCTCAAGGTCAGAGTCTGTGGATACAGCTTGACTATCTTGGTGGTGACCACTGAGGACTGGAAGTTGGGAAGGTGGTACTTTGTGAAGATAACCTCCCCCCAGAGGTCCAGGTCTCTTTAAAAGGAAGATCTAAGTGAAGTGAGAAGTCAGGGAAGGTCCCTTGTAGAAAATGCAGCTCTTTCATTTGTGGTATAATAAATAAGTATTCATTAAGTACTTTTTACCTATTTGAGGCAAAATATAAAAAAGCATAATCACATCATTTCTAGCTGCCGTTCTCGGAGCATCTACCTTGTGCAGAGCACTTTCTCTGCTTTACTGCATCCAATTTGTATGAGAAGCCCAACATTATGGCCATTTTACTAGGAAGAAACAGACTTAGATATTAAGTAATTTTTCCAAGGTCGCACAACTAGTGAGTGATTGAACTGAAATTTTAAACCTATATTTATCTCTCCAACCTGTTCTTTTCTCTTCTACACTGTTCTACATGGAGGTAAAATGTATCCAATGTTAACTAATAATTGCTTATTGAGACCTTGCTATTCTTTCACTGAAACTTTTTAACTGAGTCTTCAACTTTTGACTAACGTCCTGTGGCTTTGTCCTGAAGTGTGTCCACTCTCAGTCATTTTGTTGCCTTGCTGAGGCTTCCGGCTCCTTGTGGCCCACACCCGCTCCCCACGCCCTGCACTCCAGCCAAGCCAAAGTAACTAGGGCATCCACTCTGTCTCCCAGAGGCTGCCAGTGTTCCTGGCCTCTAGGGCTGTTCTCCCCCCTCTCTGCTGGACTGCACCCTCACTCGAAGGCCTGTCTCAAGTGTGTTTCTGGCCTAGTGTATGAAATCCTTTAAGACTCGGCAAACATTCTGATAAGTAGGAAAAAACTCACATAGTATTACAGTGCTTATGAAAGAGGTTAATATACATAGATGAAAACTACTTACTAAAGTGCCATGGATTTAAACGTGCTTTCTTTTAATAAGCTTTAGGTTTTAATTTTCAGTTTAGTTTTTCCTGGTGGTACAATCTTACTTACATGAACAGGAAAGGCTAGTGCCCCAGGTGCACCGAGATTGAGGATATAGGCTGATGAGCAGTGACTCAGGGCAGGGACAGGGTGTGGGTGGATTTTCCAGAGTAACTCTTACCTGACTCCCTGGGCTGGCCGACAGGGCCATTTTATAGTTAACACTCTTCCCACTGCATTAAGAGCTGTCCATTGTTTTTGTGTGTGACCCAAGTAGTTTCCCCATATGATATCTGTTTTATGTATAGCCCAGTATTCAAGCCTATTTTATCCCCATGTTTTTAATAGGGCCTGACAGATTTAGCTAAATCTGAGGACTTTGATCAATTTGGTTCTCTTGAAATACAAATTTTCTCTCTCATTGACTTTTAAGGCCTATAATATTAAAAAATAATGTGATTAGGTTATGCTTTGGGTTCCCCTTCCTCTTGCTTAAGGGACTCTGCTTACTCAAAGAATGTGTGCAGCAGCTGCGCTCAGGGGGAAGGAGTACAAGTCCTAAGAGTTAGAAACCGTGGGTCTGAGTCCAGACCCTGCTATTTTTTAGTTCTCTGCTCAGTGGGCAGGACCCTTCATGCGTCAGAACCTCAGCTTCTATGCCTGAAACACAGGAACGGGCATCCCTGCTCTGCCTCCTTCGTGGCATTAAGTCCTACATGAGGTGAGGCATGAAAAAAATGCCTTCTGAATTATATGATTCCACATAACTGACTTTAATGAATGATTTCATTGTTTTGACACTGATTACCTTATAAAAAGAGGTAGCCACGTGACCTCAGGCAAGCTGTTTAATCTCTCTGTGACTCAGTTTTTACATTTGTAATTGAGATGACTCCAGAGAGTTGTTGGGGGTTATAAATGCAGTCCTGGCACATTGAAAGTGCTCAGTCAATATTAACTTCTTGCTGTGAGGTTGCATCAGACATTTAACTTAATGACTTTCTAAGAGTTGAAGAGGCCAACCCCCTACTATATAAACCCTGTGACCCTTTCGTTGTAACATGGGCTGTCATTATCTTGTTTGATTGTTAACAACAAATATACTAATGTGATTGAAGGTTAAGTATTATATTAAAAACAGTGAAATAAATTGCAGACAAGAAGGAACATTTTAGACTTCTCCACCTATCTCCACCTCCAGGGACTTGGTTGTTATCTTAAAGGCAGACTGGTTTGGGTGCTCTTACATCTACATAGACTTCATTCTTGTACCTTTTAGTCTTGTGCAGTGATTCTCACATAACAAATTACGGTGCAGGTTATACATTTAAAACCATGTACTTGTACTCTAAGAACTAATTAATAGTTATCCGAAGCTAATTTTGACTATATGCAACTTTCTTCCAATACTGGCTTTTGCACTGAACTTAGAGACAATCAACTTTATTTTAGCATATCAGTGTGGGCATTTCGAGTCATTTTCAGGCAGAGAAGTGCTAGATCCAACTCATTCTAGCTGGCAAGAGCTGACGGTTAAATTTTTAGGAATCTTGTGAGCCAGCTGATGTCACATTGGCAGTTTGAAATTGGCTATGATGGGAGTATTTACACCATGGAAATTGGCAACTTCTGATCAGAACTTTTTCCCTCTGGAGCCAGTTGTTAAACATTACCAGCACATCACTGTTTTCTGCACATGTTAGACTTAATGAAATTTTAGCCTAAACGGGAACCTTTTAGTCTGTGTGTCAGTGTGTGAATGTGTCTGTCTCTCTTTCTGTTTAGATGAGGCTCAG